TTTTAAAACGTTGAAAATATTTGTTAATTTTTTTATTATCATAAAGAAAGTTTATGTTGGAATACAAGTTAAGCTGGCTTGTTTTTTACACAATATTAGTTTTTATTTATTAAAGAAATGTCTAAAATTAAAAAATATATATTATTAATTTATTATTGTATTATTAAATGTATTCACTTGTAATATTTGTTTGATGGGGCAAATAAAAACCTTTTCCATCTGGGCCATTTAAAAAGTTCTTTAGCCTTTAGCCCTTTATGAGTCCAAAATTTCATTCATAATGGTCTTAAAAATGTCTTAAGAAGTCTTACATTTAACTTGGTAAAACTCACAGAGAGCCTGGTTTACAGTATGTCAAAAAAAGTGGATGTCCCTAATATTAAACATGCTGAATGAAATGGACACTAAAATAATCAATTATTATAAACATTGTACAGTCTCAAAAATAGGCAATGTTGTTCATGTACCAGCAGGTGGCGCCATTGGAATCTTTTTGCTTGAAAATTTTTTAAAGGGCCATGAAACCCCCTCGTTTCAGCAGGGTGTTTTCACACCTCTACTTTGGAAAAAGTCCGAAAAGTGGGCGTGTCCAGCTCTGTTTAGGGGGGAGTGTCGGAGGAAGAAAAGTGGGATGGTGTGGGAGTGTCTATTTGGGCACGCGCGAGTATCAGAGTCAAAATACACAAACACACACACATACATACAGGAGAATTTGATGGTGTTTAACCTACATGGACATCTGTAGTCGAATTATTTGCCAAATGATTAAATGGTGGACTTTAACTGCAGTTTGGCTCTTTCATTCAGGGAATTCATTCATGCCCCTCGCGACACACGAGATATTTGATTCGAGGAGCTGCTCTAAGCGTGTATTTTTCATGCAATGTTTTATACCGCACGGCGAATGAGAGAAAAAAACCCTCTGCATTTCCCAGAAACTTAGATGCACACGACAGGTAGCGTCGGAAAGCCGCGCGTGTTATTCCGGTCACTAAATGCGGTAAAAACCCTACACGAGGTTAAAGTTTGGTTGTGGTGCTAACGTGTTTACACTCTGTGCAATAGTTTGTTAGATACGAACAAACTGAATAAACAAAGAGCACTGGTCGCTCACTTACCAAATCTGTAGAGACAGGACAATCACCAGCAACTAGAGCCGCGTCTTTATGAAGAGAAGACAACAAACGAATCCAGATCTCAGTGTTTGCAGATGAGAACAGCTCTCAGGTAAACAATAATCCTCCTTGGACACGTAAGTTATTGTTGTCGCGCGTCGCGTACACTGTTAATCCACACGTGAGTCTGAGCTCTCACAGAGAGAAAATGAAAACGAAACTTAACTGCAGCAAACTATAAAAGCAACACTTCACGCTTGTTTTGCCAACACAACGTGGCGTCTCTGTCCTGAAAACACGGTGATAGTAATGAATATTAATGAAGTTGCACAATAGAGCGCGCTGATTGGTTTGACCCAAGCCTTACTCATGCATTAATGCATCACACTGTAAGACGTAATAAGACACACTCTGGCACAGACGCCCAGTCTGCACGCTGGAATACACACTATTATGTCATGACCGTGACGCAGCTTCAAAAATTCGTTACAAACTAGAAGTACGAATTTGCTTGAAATAGCGCAAAAACAACCAATTTACCCTTTTTAGTGAAATATAGGTGTCCTAATAGTGTTTTTAGCAGTGTGGGACACATATACGACTGTCAACAGCTCAAAAAATGTGTTTTGGTGTTTCGTGACCCTTTAAGGAATACATTTTTAGATCCTAAAAACAGTGTTATGCTGCTTAGGCATGGAACGATAACTGCTTTCAAAGTTTACCGCAGTTTGGAAAAGTCAAGGTTTTAAAACCGCCAACATTTTCTGCTGTACCGTTCCTACAGTACATGTAAGGTTTTTTTTATGTTTTGTTTTAAGTTTTTTAGGACAACAGTAACTCCAGCAGAAAAGATCTCCAAAGATGCCATTTTAAATCATAAAGAAATCTGTGATTCATATGAATGATTTAACCTGACATGTTTACTGCTCCAAAATATTTTATATGTTTCTCAGAAGAAAATTCATTTTAGGTTATCATACCGTCAGAATCTTATACTGGCCCATGCCTAATGCTGCTTGATGTTGCAAAGTCATATTTTCTCATTTTATTATTTTTCTTTGTATAGACATGAACACACTTATTTGTAGAGCAAGTAGCCGTTTATTATTCTTGGTCATTTCTCCAAAAGACAACTGAAGTTCTAAAATAATAGCATATGAGATCAGGTCACTACTATAACATGATTGACAATTTTTGTATGTCGCTGTTTGTCATTGTACTCTGTTTATCCTGAGAGCTGATGCTGATTTTTTTAGGGCTTTTCACACTTTAAATTGTTAACCCTGGGTCATTCTAACCCTGGATAAATTCTGGGTTATTTGTAGTCACCTTCCACACTGCTCATGCTATACCTGGGGTTAAAAAATAATCCTGGGTGTTCATTAACAGACAGTTCACATTTGTAAACCCTGGGTTATCATTATTATTTGTATATTTACGTTGTCACAAATTGTTAACACGTGGTCATTCTATTCCTGGATTAACAGAATCCTGGGTTATCTGTAATCACGTTCCACAATGATCATCAGGCTTATTTTGGAAAGTCAGTTTATTATTGGCGGATTCAGTTTCATTAATCAAATTTACGATAGTTCAAACTCAGTTACTCTGGCAACTTATGCTGGGAATCTAGCCTAGTTTAGGGCAGGTTAACTCTCAGGAGTGAGTGTCTTTTGTTACTTGTTCTCATTTATTTTGTAATTACTAGTCCTCACAGTATTCTCATAGAAGATATCTGCAATTACAGTGATAAGAGTTGACTTGGTACTTTCTATTTGCATATGTCACGTTGATCACAATTCCAACTTCTTTATGGGCTTAAACTTGTTTCTAGAAGTTGTTACTAGTTCTCACAGATAATATCTGCGCTAGAATTACATCATTATTATCATAACTAATTACCAGGGCTATTGTGTTTAAACAGAGTTTTTGCGAGTCAAAAAATGTCTTAAATTACAAAATTTAAATTTCTGGCCTTAAAATGTCTTAAATTTACTGAAATATTGTGTTGTAGGTCTTAAATGTTTTTTTTTTTTTAATCAAGTCTTTATTTTCCTTTTTTCATGTTTTGCTACCCAATCTGGCCAATGTGCATACAATCACCAACAACCTATCTCAATAAACAATTTTTTATTCAAAAGGTCGTTTTAACTCTATTTATTATAACGGTTTAATTATTTTCCTTACAATAAAATTTGTTTAAACGAGCTCCATGTATTTACTGCTGAGGACATCAACCTGGACAGATTGTTGTACATAGATTTAGTTTATTATAGTTTTTAGAACTTTTAAAACATTTGTTCATTTGTTTATAATTATTATAAAGAAAGTTAATGTTGGAAAAAGTGTATGGATACAAGTAAAGCTTGCTTGTTTTTACAGAATATATAAAATCTTTTGTTACAAAATATCTCAAATATAATTTTTATAATTTATTTAATATTATATTAATACATGTTTTAAATGATAATATTTTTTGAAATGGCAAATAAAAATATTTCCCATCTGGGTCATTTGAAAGATTGTTTAGCCTTTTATGAATCTAAAATTTCATTCATAATGGTCTTAAAAATGTCTTTAAAGGTCTTAAATTTAATTTAGTAAAACCTGCAGAAACCCTGGTTTAAAGCATGTCCAAAAAGTGGATGCCCCCAATTTTAAATATGCTGAATAAAATGGACAAAAAAAATTAATTATAATAAAACATTGTACAGTATTTTAAACCATATGATGTTTCTGTAGGACAACATGAGGCAAAACAAACAAATTATAGTGGAACAATATTGTTTAGCATTGCACTGACTACAACTGGCCAACAAACAAGTCTAATAATCCTGGTTTATCTGTAAAATCCACACTGCTCATGCTTTACCTGTGGTTAAAATATAATCCTGAGTGTTTATTAACAGATGTTTCACATTGGCAAAACCCGGGTTAACAAAATCATTTGTATATTTACGTTGCCACTGTCCCTGATTGGACAAACAGCAGTTGACCTTTTTAGATGGCATTTCTGCATCTTGTCAGGGATTTCAAATGTCAACATGTAGGTCTTCAGATAAGCCTCAGGACATGCACAAAGGCAAGAAAACAATGTACAGTATAATAGAATTTACTATAGAATGGTTAAACGTAATATTTATATAAAATACAATTACAACTTGTTACTTTCACCTTGGTTAAATTCCAGTACATCATTTTTTAATTGTAGCTTTAGAACCTTATAACATCACTAAAAGCAGCATCGAAGTAGTCTCCTTTTAGTCACTCCACCTCTTCACAGAGATTGTCAGCCTGATTTGGTGTATTAATCAACTACCAAGAGTTCTGGAACTGAACAATAATGATGTTCCTGATGCTGGACATCCACTGGCACAGGATCCTCATCAATTTAAAAGTAAATCTCCCTTTTTTGCCATGCTCTGATGCGTTTAGGTTTCGCCGCTATTAGATTTCGCTGTAGAACACGCTATGCTGAAGTAAAGAGTCTGACTGATTTTCTACCGGAAACATGGCAGCAGAGTTTGTGCACAGTCTATTTACTATAACTTCTAGGTTAAGCAGCTTGGACAAAATTTACATTGTAAAAGCACTAGATAAATAAAGATGAATTGAATAGGATCTGATTAAATGTGGACAAAACGCAATATGATCTGATTTATTTTGCATTTAATGTGCATCAATATTACAGTGTGTAAAGCCAGTGTTTCCAGTGTCTTTTCACTTTTCAGCTTTTGATGAAAGTTATTAAGACTCAAAGAAACCTAATGTTATGTTATTCATTTTAGACCTAATTGAAGAGAATGAGGGGAGTAAAGAGGAGGAACATCATGTCAAAATTGAAGAAAAAACTAATTTACAGACTGATGGTATTTTGAAAAGGAGAGACAAGAATCATTTCACCTGCACTCAGTGTGGAACGAGTTTTGGAAGAAAAAGGGATCTTAAGATTCACAAGAGGATCCACACTGGAAAGAAACCATTCACATGCACTCAGTGTGGGAACAGTTTTAACAGCTCATCACACCTTAATCAACACATGAGGATCCACACTGGAGAGAAACCATTCACATGCACTCAGTGTGAGAAGAGTTTCAGCCAATCATCAAACCTTAATCTACACATGAGGATCCACACTAGAGAGAAACCATTCACTTGCACTCAGTGTGGGAAGAATTTCAACCAATCATCAAATCTTAATCGACACATGAGGATCCACACTGGAGAGAAACCATTCACATGCACTCAGTGTGGGACGAGTTTCATCCGCTCATCATCCCTTAATCTACACATTATGAGCCACAATGGAGAGAAACCATTCACATGCACTCAGTGTGGGAAGAGTTTTAATCGTTCATCACACCTTAATCGACACATGATGATCCACACTGGAGAGAAACCATTCACATGCACTCAGTGTGGAATGAGCTTCAGCCAATCATCAAACCTTAATCTACACATGAGGATCCACACTGGAGAGAAACCATTCGCATGCCCTCAGTGTGGAATGAGTTTCAGCCAATCATCAAACCTTAATCTACACATGAGGGTCCACACTGGAGAAAAACCATTCACATGCCCTCAGTGTGGGAAGAGTTTTAACAGCTCATCACACCTTAATCGACACATGAGAATCCACACTGGAGAGAAACCATTCACTTGCAAATAAGCCGCAGTCACACTGGACTTTTCTCCCCATAAACTTCTATTCATAGCACGCGAATGCGTCAGACTGGAAACGCAAGTTTGTGCGTCACGTTTCGCAGTTCACTGCCTTGTAAAGTTCAAGCTTGGTAAACTCTGACCTGTGAAATTGCATCACTTGACTTTATAAGTCCAATCGAACATCAAAACATGACCTCTCTGGACAGTTAGTAAAATATAGACGAATCGCTCACTTAATGTCTAATCATCTTGTTTAATCCCGCCCCTTTTCGCAGCGACATTCAACAATATTTTGCATGCTCAAACTCTAGTGAGACTGGAGCTTCGGTGTGGAATGGGTTTCAGCAGCTCCTCAGACCTTTATTAAACACATGAAGACCCACACTTGAGAGAAACCATTTACATGGACTCTGTGTGAAGTTTTAATTGATCAGCAAACCTTAATGAACACATGAAGATCCACACTGGTGTTAAAGAGTATTTGTGCTTTGAGTGTGAGAAGACTTTTATTACAGCTCCAAAGTTGAAAATGCACCAGACGATTCACACTGGAGAGACCATACAAGTGTTCACACTGTGACAAGAGGTTTAATCAGATAACACATATGTTAACAGAAATCTCAGCTCCTTCACCACAACAGACAATCACAGCAACTGCATTACTGCTGCCGCTGCATTAATCCAACTTTAAATCTCACATTCCATTCCTCATTAAAAAAAAAAAAACAACCTCAGATACTTGAACTCAGTTTGGGGTAAGGACTCTCCGTCAAACTGGAGATGGCCACCTTTTTCCAGTCAAGCACCATGGTTTCTGACTTAGAGGTGCTGTTCTTTCCCTGCCATGTCACACTCAGCAGCAAACCGTCCCACTGCAGGCTGCAGGTCCATGTCCTATGAAGCCAAAAGGACAATGTTATCCGTAAATGGCAGAGACAGTCCTAGCCTGCACCTAAAATTCTATCTTTAAAAAAATTATTGAGATCAGCCTCAACAATAACACAATTACAAAACAAAATGAATAAATAGATGAATAGATATTGTAATGGTGGAATGGAGAGTAGGATGGCTTGACCCATAAACCAAGATGGAGCTCTCTCAGGAGGGATGAACCAGTGCACGAGTCTCAGACTAAAGGCGTAATAATGAAATAAATGCTAAGGAAGCCCCAACCCTGGCTGTTGCGATGTACTCCTATGCAACCTAGAGTGCTTATTGTTCCAGAGAAATTAACAGACTAAATTATCAAACTGTTTTAAAAATTGTAAAGAAATGTTTACATGGATATAGTGAAGTAGAAAAGTAACTTAAGGAAAGCAATTTACGTTGAGTTTGCTAGTTTGTTTTTTGAGTACCTAAGAGCAGTGGTTCCCCTTCGTTTGGGGAACTTCAGTGCAATTAAGTGGATTTGATCTTTGTGAAAATCCACGAAAGGGGGGTGGGGGGGTGGGGGGGGATTTGGTTCAGAAGCCCCTTGTCTGAAAGAGTATTGAACGGACCAATGAATGCAATGAATTAGCAGCGTAAGCTTGCGCAGATGTGCTTATATGCTGGGATAATAAGCAATGAAGCACACCTGGAGCGAGCAAACGCCATCCTTTTTGCTTCAGAGACTTTCTCATCGAGTCGATAAGGGTTCCTCCTGCTGTGATCCAGCGATTCCGAGCGAACGAGAGCATTCTCCCTGTCCAGAGTGTGTACACGCAGCGGCAGACGGTCGAGCTGGGTTTTCTCCCATGCCTGGCGTTCTTTGGGTCCGGTCCTCCAGAGCGGTGCGTATAAAGTTGCAAACTTCACAGAAAGAGCAACACAGTCCTTTTCAGGACGGCACTCCGACTGTGCATTTCTGGATGCGGTGGTTTCCTGTCCTCGGATGATGGGCACGGGCACTGCGTTGCATGCCTGGGGGGTCCAGCATGTTAATGCGCTGCTCGCGGGCAGTTCATGTCATCATTGCGATGCCATGACTGTTGCGCAGTAAAGATCATGGCTAGCCTTTGCAAAAGGGCAAACCACCCCAGTTGTCCCCTGCTCTGCAGCGGGCACTCAGGCAGATCTGAGGGTTTCAGCGAGAGATAATACGTCGCCCACGGGCCCGTGGACCTCCCGCTCCTCTAACGCCCTATTCACACGGGGCGTCAGCGTCAACGCTTCCCATTCACTTTGAATAGGTGACGTCAGGCGTTGCCGAACTGCATTGTGGATCCGTCGGCGCCGCTTCAGAAGCGTTCCTCGCTGCAGAAGTTGGGACCAGCTCAACTTTTCAAGCGCCGACGGAAGCGTCAGCCAATCAGATCGCTGTATGCAAATACACCAGCTCAGACAGTGGCCTATTGCTGACTGAATTTCATTGGCTGACGCTTCTATGACGATCGTTTCAGCTCCAACTTCAGACAAGCCCTCTGTCAAGCGTTGACGCTGAAGCCTCGTGTGAATAGGGCGTAAGCGTTCCATCCAAGCTTCGGCGGGGGAAGCGATCCGTCTAACAGATGGTAGACCTCACGCTCAATGACATCGAAGACCAGACGTCCACCGCGGCATCGGAGGGTGGGCTTTCATTGACCGATGATGTTCCAGACCCGCTCGCCCCCTCCGGGCAGGTGAGCGCTGTCAAACGGATCCTGAAACGAACATGTTAGCCGTGCTTTCCCGGGCTGCTTCGGCCGTAAGTTGGAGCTGGTTTATCCCCCAGCTCCGCGGCCGGACCGACTAGAGGGGTGTCCCCTTCTTCCCGGAGGTGCACAGTAGGCTCACCCGGTCTTGAAGGGCACTTTTTTCTGCTCGTGCTGCGTGTCCCTTCACACTCACCACACTTAATGGTGGAACGGCCAGGGGGTATGTGGCGATTCCTCAGGTTGAGTGCGCGGTGGCGGTTAATCCTCACCAGGTGAAGGCGGCTCCTCTTCTTGGCGGGGTCCGCCTCGTCTTCCATCCAAAGCCTGTAAGTTATCTGTCTCCCTCGGAGCTTGAGCTTACAAGGCTGCGGGCCAGGCTGCTTCGGCCTTGCATGCAATAGCCACCTACCAGCGCTACCAAGTGCAGGCGCTGGCCGAGCTGCACGAGGGTGGGTCCATCCCAGGCTTACGAGCTTCGCACCGCTGCCGACTTAGCTCTTCAGACTACTGAGTCCGCTGCGTGTGCGTTGGCTCGCTGTTGGCAGTGTTCCTCGCTCTTCACCGTTTTTTCCCGGTGCCGGAGCGGCAACACGTGCTGGTCAGGATGGACAGTACGGCAGCGGCGGCGTATATATCAACCGTATGGGGGTTATGCGCTCTCGCCGCATGTCTCAGTTAGCCCGCCGTCTGCTCCTCTGGAGTCATCCGTAGCTGAAATCGCTGCACGCCATTCATATTCAGGCAAGCTCAACCGTGCAGCCGATGCGCTCTCACGGCAGCCTTACGTCCTGGAGAATGGAGAGTCCACCCCGAGTCTGTCCAGCTCATATGGGCGCGATTCGGGGAAGCCCAGATCAATCTGTTGCTTCCCCCGAGATAGCTCATTGCCAGTTGTTCTTTCCCTGACCGAGTGCTCTCGGCACGGATGCACTGGCTTACAGCTGGCCTCGGGGCATGCGCAAATACGCGTTTCCCCCAGTGAGCCTGCTCGCGCAGTTACTGTGCAAGGTCAGGGAGGACGAGGAACAGGTTGCTGATTGCGCGCCTCTGGCTCAACCGGACCTGGATGTCAGAGCTCTCCCTCCTCGTGATTTGCTGCCCTCGGAGGAGGCAGACCCAGCCCTTTCTTTATTGTCCAGTTTGCGTCTTGCGTATTATACGGACCGCACCCAGAGTTTAGATCATCTGAGCAGCTCCGTCTGTTATGGCGGTCGGCAGCAGGGAAGTGTCCAACCGAATAAAGTTTTCCCACTGGTTTGTGGATGCCATTCTCTCGCTTATCAGAGCCGAGGTGAGCCCTGTCACCCGAGAGTGCGTGTGCACTCAACTCCGAGCTTCGCATTCTCTCGAGCGTGCGCACGCGGTGCCTCTCTAACAGACATCTGTAGAGCTGCGGGCTGGGTGACACCCGACACATTTACAAGGTTTTACAATCTGCGAGTGGAGCCGGTTTCCTCAAGGGTATTAGGTAACCCTTTGGTGATTGAGAAAACAATTCGGTAGGGTGTTGAAACACGCTTGCTGCGTCAATCTCCCTAACACGGAGGTACGTGCACCTTTTTATTTGTCAGTAAAGTTCCCCGTCAGGTGAGCCCTGCAGATTCCTCCGTGGCCCCCAGCACTGACTCAGCGGAGGAGTCACTTGCTGGCCCACTACGTTGTAGGTCTGCCCGCTGGTCAGCCTGTGTTTTGGGTATAGGTGGCTGCTATGCGTGATCCCCACTAGGCGATCCCATATGCTTATTCCGCCACGGTTAAGTCCCCCAACCCCCCCCCCCTGGGTGGACCCGTTTCTTCCCTCTCCGCTAACCACTTTTTTGCTATGCGTACTCCCCCTTTTTAGGGCTAGTCCATATGTAAATTCTGCCATCTTTCCCCCCTTGGGTAACGAATGGCCTCAGCAGCGTCCTCCCTATCGGGATTGCACGCTTCCCAACGTACTGTCGTATTTTCCTAGAATTATCTAGATGCTCACGACTTCCCAAAAAATATATCTAAATCCGTAAGACTTCTGTTGAAGTAGGATAAATTAGGGTCAGGGACACATTGGAGGACCACGCCTCCCATGATGTGGGTGCGTCACGCTTGCTTGACTATCCCCTCATCAGGGGCGTTGGTAAGGTGCAGTCATTATGGCGCTTTCCATAGTTCTCCCATTTCGTGGATTTTCTCAAAGATCAAATCCACTTGATAGCACTGAAGTTCCCCAACCGAAGGGGAACGTTCGAGGTTACAGAAGTAACCCTTCGTTCCCCGAGGAGGGGAACGGAAGTGCTATACTCCATTGCCATAATGACTGTCCCTTAGCTGTTTGAAAGGCTCTTCAGCTTAAAAGGATGGCATTTGCTCGCTCCAGGTGTGCTTATATGCTGGGATAATTGGCAATGAA